TTGGTCGAACGTAATATTATAACAATTAGTTATGATTACAAACCGGAAATTGTTAAGTACAACAAAATATTAATTATATAGGGTTCAATTACCTATATTTAATATTTATTTTCTTATTCATTAAATTTGATAAGTATTTAGGTTAACATTATATTTACATCAGTATTACTTACATATATTGAAAATTTAATATTTCACTTATCAATATTAACACAATCATTTAGGATGTAAAAAACCGATAAAGTAGGGCTACATTACATAAAATAAACATTTGTTATTTCAATATTATAAATTATGACTGTAGAATTTATTATAATAACTCGAATGTGATCGCATCATGTAGCAAAATAATTTCTTAACGCTATTTTATATTAGTTTATATTATTTATAATATGTTCGATTATTGACAATTTAATCTCGATTCAACATATTTATTTTATTCTATTTTGAACGAAAAAATGCTTTATTAAGTATAATGTAATTTTTATTAACAAATTACAAATATAATTATTAATTATATATTATAATATTAGGTATATCTACTTGTGTTTGAATAAATGGGTAAGTACTAAGTCAATGAGCTGTCATTATGATAATGTACTATAGTAGGTTAAGGTATTGAAAATATATTTCATATTTAAATTAAAAAACCTATACCTACCTATAATTTTTAACCTAGGTATGTAATAAATGAATGATATTTTCTTTATTACGTGATGTGTTGTAACTTGTAATTTATTTATGATCCGTTGTAAAACCCACTAAAAAATTATATATATATTCATATAAATATAATATGTAATAATATGTACCTGTAGTAATAAAATGGTAGGTATAATAGTTTTGTAATAAAATATAATGACGAATAAAATAATAATAAATTGTGATTTAATCGTTATAAATAGTGTAAGAGGTGAATGAATGTAGGCAAAGTAATGTATATACACTGTGTTTGTAATATCTATATTCGATATTACTTGTATACTATAGATATAAATAAAATGTATTAACAGATTACGATACTTTAATGATTGTTTTTCATTTTAGTTCCAGTGTTGTAGTCATACCTAATATAATATTATACCTAGGTAGTAGTAATAACCATGACATTTTCGTTAATGCGCCCCGGGCTGTATCTACTATACATCATTAATCTATATAATATACCATCTATACAAATTCGAATCGGATATAAACTGAGGTTAGAAATTAAATTATTGTATTGGGAACCTGTATGTTTGATACCTACTAACCACACACATTCGTTTATATTACCAATGCGTTTACGTGTGTGTATATTTGATCATATTATAATAGAATAGACTGGGTGGTAAAATATGCGCCGTATTGTGTGCACAATACTCGCCATACGGTCGAGTCGTGGCCAAGGGTGGTATTGTGTCATTGTAGTTATGATTTTGAGTGGTCGATGGGCGGGAAGGAGGTGGTTAGCCTCTATATTATTAAATGAAACTTGAATAGAAATTCCAACATCGCACACCATTCCTATAGAGTTTCTTTGACATATATTGGTACCTACCCTATATAATATATACCAAAGGGATATGATTTTTCAAAAACTATTATACTTACCCATAGAATGGGACTGTAAACTCGTAACACGTGCTATAACAATTCGATGAACCCCGGGAGATTAAATCTTATTTTAGCTGAACTGAAACTAACATTTAAAAGCCTTTATACAACAATAGTTTGGTTTTTTGAACAATATAGCTTATGGAAATATTATACAGGAATGATGGACTGTATAAGAACTAAGGATTAAGGAGCTAAAGCACATTCATGGTGGTATCGCATTGTTAACACTGAGGTTTCAGTGTATTTCTTATACAATTAAATTATTTCCTATACCTAGTTGGATATCATGATGGAAACTAATAAAAACCATATCTTATGAATTTATTATTAAAATATTAGATACTGACAATACAATGATTTTTATCTCAGTCGGAATCTATTTGGGGGGGGGGGGGGCTACCAAAATGTTACTATATAAAATCAGATTGATTTAAAAGGATAGGTAGATACTCTTTAACAAGTTTTTTAGACAAGTTACTCTGTATAAATATTAATAATTAAACATAACTCATAAGTACCTATATTGGCTATTACAGGATATTATACAACTGTCAAATTGTACTGTTCACTCTTGCAATTTACCAGTATGTAACTGGATTGATAAAATTTTAACTTATCATGGTGAAACATTTTTTTTTTTATTATTGATCGTAAATAAACATCGGCAACTCAGGCCATTAGTTACTTAGTAGGTACTTGAACAATAGCAATTTTTTTAAAACTCTTTATTTATACGAACTGGTTTGTTTCAGAGGATTAATTAATTCTAGGTTTCGTCCATGTTTGAGTCCCAGTAGTGATGCTACAAATGAAAGTTATGAGTCTGTGTAAAAAAGTGAAGGAAAATCAATTTTAGACTTTTGAATAATATGGTCAATATGGAACTATAGTATACCTATTCCATACAATATATAAATGTATTTTATATATATTTTAATTAGTTCCTATGGTAGTCATAAAAAACCTGGGCCACAAATGTACCTATGTATCCTAAAAAATCTAGGACTTAAATTAAGAAGATATTTATACCACATGATACAAGTATCATAGTTGTCACCTATATTTGTTTTGGTTGTATTTATTCAGATTTATTTTGTTATTATTAATTTAAAAAACTATAATTATATTATAGTCCATAAGAACTTTAAACTATATTACTGTAATTTATTTTCTCCATCTATTTTGTTATTGAAAAATTATAATGTTGTTATATAAATAAAATCTGCTCATATGGTATACATACAGCAGCTATAGATTTATTCGTTACGTAACGATGTGCGTCTTGGAGTAAACCACAAATAAGTCCCTCTGGTCTTATCTAATATTATATATTAGAATATCAGTCATGAGTTTAACAAACTACCAGTTTATTTTGTAGGATGAACTAAAATGTAGTACCTAAATACCTGAGATTTTTTTTCATAATTTCTTTGGGGGTGTTTAATTTAATGTTCGGTGATTGAAACTTACTTGTGGAAACTCTACATTTGAAGGTAGATATAAAACATTCAAATAGATTGAATTTATCATACCCAAATAAAATAAAAATTGATTTTATTTTTAATAAGCTATAAGCATTAAATTATCATTTAAATACGTCTTACTTTATCAATTTGTCTAAATATTATATCGAAAAAACATGTACCAAATGCCGGTATTTATTTCCACGTGAATCTAATCCAGTGATGCAATCATTTATTTTGATCAGTATTAATTTGTAAATTACGTTATCTTTTTAATTAGGTTTATGTAACGGTTTTTATATAAGGCTAGGACTATTATAAATTATATTTATTTTGAAATAATATAAATACTTAATATTAAAGAGTATGGTTTTTTTTTTTTAATGATTCTAGTTTTCTGATAAAATCATATTTAATAGGATCCACTATAATAATTCTACTTAATGTTTTTCTGTACCTACTGATATGTTTTTATTTATAATTAAAATCATATTTTACATGATAATATTGATGAATTCTTATCTTATAATTATTGATATGGTACATTTTCTAATAAGAAACCATATTTATTAGATTGAAACTTATAAAACAATGTTCAGCATAAATAAATTATAAAAAATAATAATATAAGTAAATTGTCGTATCATTGTGAGTCTTGGCAGCTGTCATTTTTCATACATACGAGAATGCTATTTAAAAAGTCTGTAGTTTTTCTTTCCTAACTTCATGATGTATATTATGTACAAATATAATTACAACTACTAACCTAACCTATAATAATATATTGTACCTATATGTAGGTACTGTGTACACTGTCTGCTGTATATAGTATTATATATAATTGTTCGAACATCCCAAAAACCTGTTTTGACCCTTCGTAGAGGGTTTTAATTTTGCCATGCCATGTTTAGGAATGTAAACTGCTACACCAAAGTGAATATGCATCCAGCTATATACCTATATATGCTGTCCAGCGAGAGTACTCATTTAGAATGAAAAAAAAACAAAATTTGAATATAATATAAAATATTATAATGTTCATAATACAGTATTTTTTTGGATCTAAACACGAAATACAGAGCCTTATTTCAGAAATAGTTTATAGTTAGTATTACGTATGAGGAGAGTTTTAATTTATTTTTTAATTTAATTGTTTGACGTACCTACGCTATTTTGAGCAAGTGTTTTTAAAAATGTTTTTAACTTAAATAAAAGGCAATAGTTATTGTAGTATAGTACCCTTCTGAGTCACAGTTACAATTTGAGCGTAGAAGATTTACACAATATAATATTACTTTTTTTTTTTTTTGTAATAACCTCTCGAATGCGTACAGATATTGTATAAAAATGCCAACAAAACTGCTCGCACACGTGTATTATTGTTTGTTATAATACTGCTCGCCGCACTCTCTCTCGGACCTGTAAAACGCCGATAAGACCCACCGATAAATGTCTTCAGTCCGTTCCTCGCCACACCCACCCGTGGACAAGGCATCTATCCCCACCAGAGTAACACCTCTGCCATAAACATCCGAATGTATTAGTGCGGTCCGATCCCCGCGCTCCCCATCTCGGAATGGATGGGGTCCCCCGCACTCACCCTCCACCGACATCCTTACATACATACCTCAGCTGTCCGTCGGCTACCATCGTCATACTTGTATTGTATACACTCGGGTAGTATGACCGGGCCTACGTTATATTATTATGTCACACACAGCCAGTGTTTGATTGCGTATCAGTGAGATCAGTCGGTCATCGATAAAATACTTTTTTTCTTACTAATTACTCTTAATATTAAATTAAAAGTGTCCACAGTTTCTTGTGCTATCAAGTTATATGTCTCCGTGATTTCGACGTGGTATTAACCAATCTTGAACGTGGTCCCGATTGTTATCACTGTATGGATAATTAGTCCCTACCTTAATCACCAAACCGTTATTCACATTTTTTGACATCCACCGACCGACCAGCCACCACCGGATTCATAATTACCATCCGTTGTGCAAATGTCACCGAAAAAATCGACTTCACAATCATCAACCACATCCCAATGTTCGAAAATACCACTGGCTTCACGACAAACGCCAGTACAACCCGATTCTTGGATTCCGTCCCCAACGTCATCACGGGTTTTGCCATTGGATAAGTCTCTGAAGGTATCATCACCGCGCGTTTGGGTATGCGCGCAGTCTCAAATGACCACACCACCTGTTGGACCATCCAAATTGCATACAATGGTGTCTTATATCCCACAATCACTGCCAGAACCCAATCTACCACGCTTAAAAACATGGTCTTTATTTTCTACACTTGAAAACGCGATAATTTAACCTCCCATTTTCATAGTTGTAGATTCCTTCTATACTCTAAAAGACCAGTTATAAAAACGAATTAGTCGAATTTCATAAAAGTGTTTACTGCTGTCGCTACGTATACTCGAATGCCGGCTTCCGATCTGTAAGATTCGGCGTATGGAAGGGGAACCGTGCGCAGCAACGGACGCGTTTTACGTATGGACTCTCGTGGGCCGTAGTATATATTAGTCAATTGGTCTATATTAAGTGATGAAATTTATTTAGATATAAGCAATAACAGTATGGTAGTCTATTATAAATCAGTAATCAGTAATCCGTTGTTTCAGTTTACCAGGGGTAGTGACCGCAAAAGTGTACTACTGAGTAGCCCCAGTCACCGTGAATCCAGTCCATCACTGAACTCACCACATCAGTTGTCGCCGACCATAAACAGCACTACCACCAACCAAAATTCCCAACGTCAATTCAGGAAAAGAAGTAGGACAATTCCTGCCTACCGAAGTAGATCTAACAAAAGGAGTAAAATCTCCATTGGCCAGAGATCAGTTTCTCCCCCCATTGATACGCACGGTAGAAGTAACTTAGACATTCAACAAAATCCTAACGACAGTTCCAATAATAAAATAATCATTCGAAATCCGTATGGTACCACTGAGGATAAAAGAGAGCTGTATTCATCATACACTGACTGCTCGTCGAGCTTGAGTACGGACACAACAAAAGCTCATGTTTTAGAGGATGGTTTTGATAATCTTATAAATGACCTGAAGGATTCGTTTAATATCACTCGAAAGATTTTCAATAATTATAGAAGTTCAATCGAATCACAATATAATCAAATAACTCAACAGTGTGAAAAATTGAGAATCAACTTGAACGATTCTTAATCAATTTTAAGCCAGTCACCATAACATATCACCATTACCTATCAGCAGACCACTCTAATAACCAAGGCTAACTAAACCAATTACTAAACTTTCGTCGCTGGTTAACCCAGCCACGGATAAATCAAAATGGATAACCCGGCAGCAGTGTTGTCAGATGACGTGGAGGATTGGAGTCCACGGGCGCCATCGACGGGCAGCAATCAGCCCCAGACACAGGTTCGGTTAAGCGGTGGTTCCGATGGCATCTACAGTACCAATATCCCCAATAATTCATCACAGACACAATCACCAACACCTCATCAGAAACAACAATTTCAACAACCAACACCACAACAACAGTACAAGCGCAATGCGTCGACTTATTCAATAGACATTCCAGCAACCCTTGGGCTGATGGTGACGAACACCAACCCTGCCGTCAACGGAGGATCAACTACATCGTCTACGTGAGTATATTATAGCTGCATTTAAGTAACTTATATATTTAGAATACAATATAAAGTATTATCATAAGGTAGTACGTATACGTGATTACGGATAAGTTTTGAACTTGGTGTAGAACAATAATAATTTTTGATTGGTAAGCATTTGATGTGGAATAAACGTACGTTATATATGATTACATATACAATGCATATAATATGAAATATGTGTAAAATGTATTGTATACTTTTAATAGTATTTGCATGATTACACAATATCATCTGCAACTGTTTAATTAACTAGTAAATAGGTACAACTTGTAGGGATAAAAAGAGTATTATTAACCAAATGGTTGAAATACGTTATATTTAATCAAAATATGTTTCCGGTTTTTATAGAAAATGTTAGTAAATAATGTATTATATAGGTGTCAATAAAATTGACCAAACTCGAGTGGGTTATCGATAACGTATTCAACCGATCGATATCATCTTCGATATCAAATCTTGTTCAACGACCACTCTAGTAATCTACTCTTAACGTTTTCAAAGTATCCAATGTTACAATACGTTGGGTTACGGAGTGCGGTTTTTCATTTGTCACAACAATCGTATATTATTATAATATTTCATCACAAAAACATGTATTTCATGTCGCTTATCTTAATATTGCAGTGTATAACATATTTTGCATACATTTTTTGTTTGATCCGCTGGCTGTCACTAAGACCACATTCAGTTGCCTATCCAAGTTCTGTCCCTATTTTGTCGTTTTTAAGGCGAAAACGATTTCGTGGTTGTGATCAGTCGTTATGGTGCAACCACCTGCAACCGCCACCGCACCGCCCCTACATGTACCACGGACCATCCACTCTGTGCAGGCACCACGTCGATATTGTACGACTGTAGCTCAACTTTTTTCTTTTTATGCCCCCCCCCCCCCAATTTTTTGGCCCAAAAGTATGAGAGTATAGTGTTATATTATTATCTACATGCTCAACATGTTGCTCTACATGTCACGAATTTCATACACCATTGGTACTGAAAAACTCGTCCCTCGCGAGTCGTAATACCAATACCTACGTTATCGTGACCTAATTATAATGACGGGCGATTAAGTCGACCGAAATCTTGCGATGAACACGTCCGAAATAAAGTGCGTAGCATAAATTATGACGTTCCGCGGCGTATAGGTGTGAGCTCGGTCGATTCGTCAATAAACCGAGGCGGACTGCAATTAAACGCATTCCGATTATTCGAAAAATGCACATAATAATATAATATGAGCAACTTTGCAAGCACACGTGCACACCGGCCGCGTACCTACCGTTTAATCTTCGACATTTCTTCGGGTCGCGAAATCATCACGCGAATCACTCGGGCAATGCGACGACGAGATTAATCGTCAATGAATTCTCTCGCGTACTTTCTAATAGGTAGGTATACAAAATTATAATATTATTATAATTATTATTATCTCCTCTCGCGGTACCTACGTACGCGCCATCATCGTATCTCTCTCTCCGTCCGCGTTACACCGCTGCAGCTGATAATGAGATACGAACGAGACAGTGTTAATTTATTATGTAACTTGCGCCAGTGTGAGAGGAGTGTGTGCTCGCGTTATAATCTCGTTAACACATAATTATTATAATAATATGTAGGTATATTATACCATAATATTATATTATGTTATGTCGTGCACAATAATAATAATATTATTATTATTATTACCGCCGTGTACTACACATTATTGGAACCTCACAATTTGCGGGTACCACGGCTACGTGTGTGTGTTTTGTGGGTATATACCATAAAACGCGTGTACAAGGCGTTAAAGCGATTTCGATTATGTAGTAAAATTAACCGTTTTAGGTAGGTGCCTCCCGACTACCGCGGAAAAATGCGACTTAGGTATTATGTTTCTCGCGGAGACACGTGACATTCTTTCGCGCTCCAGTGCTCGTTTTTCACACAACTCGCACTAATGCATTGCCCACGTAGTATAATATACATCTGAACCCAACCAGTAACTATGTATATGGTTACAAAACTATGCGAGTGCATAGTCTTACTTGTATTGTGTATAGTGCGCTTGTCGAGAATTGTATTGTTCGTTCGTTCTGCGCCGCATCAGCCGCTGTCGTCTTGACACGACGGTTCGCGTACATTCGTGCTCATCGCGTCCATCATGTCCCCATCATTTTCCGACGATTTTCCGCACTCAAAGCGAGTATACCGGAAAATCGCAGAGGTTTTCCCGGGATATTTTCTCGATATCGTGCTGGCGAGACATATTCTGACACCCAGGTATCTCGTACCTGGATTTCAGAATATGCAGGAAACGTTTGCGGATTTTTTTACACGTCGTAAACACCGATAATCGTATGCGACATGACACGTAGGTATATACCTACATATTATCACATGATGGGAGGTTAGGTATACCCGTAGCCCGTAGGTACTTGCGGTTATAATTACCATCGGCGTGCAGTACCTGTCATTATATTATACATTATAATATATACAATTATATACATTTGGTTAATATATATTATTAGCGCATAAGACTAGGTATACGACAACGAATTTGCGGATGATGTGATGTATGCACATGCCGCGTGAGGGCGTACGTGATGAAATAGAATAATAATAATAGTAATAATAATAATAAAATTACATTATTGTAATCGAATTGGGTTTTTTTTTTCACGTTCTCCGGGGCCACATCCATCTCTCTCTCGGTACGACGCCAACCATCGTCCAAACCATACCATCGTCTTTGTGCGGCGTGCGGTCATTCATTGTTCGGCCGACGTTCATTGTGCTTACACGTACCGAATAAAAACGACGTGTTCCGTCTCCGTGTGTGCCAATGCGTATCGTCGCGTTGTATCGCCGTCACCGCTGCAAACAACAACAACAACAACAACAACAACAACAACACCAACACCGACGACGAACACACTACCGCTGACAACGACAACAGTATGAAGCTGACCGAGTACTCGAGCAGCGGAAGCAACAGCAGCAATAGTGGAAGCGTCGGCGACGGAACCGCGACCGCCACATCGTACATCATATCCGGCGGAAACGGCGAAAAGGCCGATGGCAACGGGATGGTCGGTGGACGACGTCGTAAAGGCGGAAAGAAGCAGCCCCGTTACGACCCGTTCCAGATGCGGGACAAGTCTAAGGCGACTACGTGAGTATAATAAATATAAGAAAACATTCACTAAAACGTATATATTATTATAGCTGGACTATATTGCGGTACTCACGAGAACTTGACGATTTAATAATATGTGATACTATAGGTTGTATCGGAATGAATGAATCACTAAACATGACGTATCGAGTCAATAGTATGAGCTATAATAGTCCCTTACACATGATTTAGTGGTCCATTACATTTTATTGAATTATTTAAATTAATTCATTTTTCATACAAGTGGTCGAAAGGAAAGGCCACTCGCAGGGTCTATATTATTATGTAGTTTGCGAGCAAATAGGAGCCTTATTGTAAGTTGGTGCTCTTGTACGCTATGTACGTATATTATATATTATATAATATGTATGGCATAATATATAGCACTAACGGCTGCAGTGGCAACCCGCGAAGGCCTCGCAGACCTTTTACTTGTCGTTATATATACATTTTAATTTTCCCGTGTAATCAATATTTAATATTATGTTTGTTTGTTTGTTTGTTTTTTTCATCCTTTCCTGACCGTCGTTGTAATACACGATTTACATAATATAGTGACAGCGGTGCCTTATTGCACTTAATCAAGAGCAGCCTCGGAAGTGGCATTCTCGCCATGCCAAACGCTTTCAAAAACGGTGGGCTCATCTTCGGACTTGTCGGCACTGCAGCAATCGGAGCACTTTGCACGCATTGCATATACCTTCTGGTGAGTCGTACGACAAAATTATTTTGTTTCATGTATTAATAGTAACACATTGTTATAAAATTTTTTTTCAAAATCATCAACCCTGACGTCTGGTAAACTTAATTTTTATATCAACGCTCAGGGAATATGAGGAATATACCTATATTAGATAGGTACTACAGGTTAGGTACAATTTAAGTCGACCGAGTCATCAGTCATAATTTTTCCGAATATAAATCAATCGATATTCTGTCTTCAGATCGTTTTTTCCCTTGTTAATGCAGCTATATACAATATTAAACTAAATTGATATTTAGGAAAATAGCTGTTAAAAAAATTAAATGTTCAAACTATTAATTAAAGTAGCTAAATTAATATTAAAAATAAACCTGAGAAGTTGCACTGCTGTAGCACAGAAGGTTTTGACTTTCAAGTGTACTTCATCTTCGTGTAGGTCACTATTTGATGAATATGATGAATTTGAATCCAACGTTAAACATTGCTAACGATAAAAATTTCTGAACGGAGGTGGTGTGTGTGTCAGCCTCTATTTCTAATGATATTTTATAATTTATTTACATTCGTACCTACATTATTATTAGAAAAGTTGGTATTTGTTTGTAATATACGGTAGGTCGACTACATTTTTACCAAAACCATAGCATACCTACCTATTTTATTATTATAAATTAATTTTAAAAATTTGTACCGACGTACTATACACCTACCAACCTACCGAAGAACGGTATGGAATAGGTTCATAACAACATTTTAATACATACTTGGTGGAGAAAATGTAATTATTTAATAAGGTAGGTAATGGTGGAATTTTTCAACTTTTTTCGAATTACAATAACAAACAAAAAAATAATGTTCGTGATTTTGACGAATTTTAGTCAACATTTTAACTGAACACTAATAAAAAATGTGACTATGTATTTCTTATACTTCTTAGTTGTTTTTCTTTATTTTTGTTAAATTTAAAGCTTTTGACTCACAAATAAACATTTTTTACTTTATCATCATAAGCCAAAAAAATAGAACATTTCAAACATCTATGAATAAAAACACAATTGGTTTAAACACTACATAGGAATACTTATACGTAGATACACAAATTATTGAAATAAAAATTAATTTTATATAAAATATAATTTATAGTTAAGGCTAAATATTAAATGACGATTCAAATATTTCACTGTAGAGATTGAGAACGCATTTGTTTTCTCGCACGTTCTTACGTTCCTCCAACAATGCAGTTTAGTTGTTTTTGATATAAGAGTAAATTTACCTTGCATCATATTAAAATTTAATTTAAAAACATAAAAAACCGATAAAAACAGTATTTTTAAATGTTTATATTAATTTATCTATACTTATAATACGCTTAACATTTAGAAAAAAACCGTCAACATAATGTACCTACGGATAATATGTTATCATCTTTATATGTTTGAAAATAGGTACATTTTCTCTACTTAGAATAAGGCAACTATATATACTAACCATAACGGAAATGCGGAATGCAAATCTAATATTATAATATTATGTTGAACATGCGTGTGAAACGTAAATGTGTGAGTATAATATATTTTAATGTTCTGTTAAAATAACATATTATAGAATATAAATAATGGAAATAGAGATAGATAGATAAAAAAAAAAATTAAAAATAAAAATATAGTCCGGAAATATTTTGTAAAAAGTTTTGTAAAAAAAAATCACAACCTTGAGTCTGTTCATCCAATATATTTTAATGATAATGATATACCTATCTGGTAATTTTTTCCCGCTGCGTATTATAATTACAATTATCCGACAATATTATTTTTATGTACCTATATATATATATATGTCCTATATAATATAATACCAGCCTACTGCAATATAATAATATTATAATATATATATTATGGTTCTTTTGCGGTTTACTGCTATTATGGTTATTACGTTAACGTCTCGCAATCACATGCCTAACTAAACTAACTACTTGACACTGATATTGTTTTTCAGGTGCTGTGTTCGCAAGCTCTAGCCCGCCGCACCCGCCGCCCTGCCCTCGGCTTTGCCGACACCGCCGCAGCCGCTTTCAGCACCGGTCCGCGCCGGTTCCGTGCCTGGGCCCCGTTCGCCAGGTAATGTTATGTTTGTTTTAGTGGTTTCCGGCTTGATTTTTTTATTTTTGTGACCCTCGATTTCGGATCTATACTCGTGATATAGATAAACAGCATAATGGTATATTTGTATAATAATCCGTCATTGTGGTCGCCGCCCGCGAGATTGGAAACCAGCGATTTAATTTTATTGACGTCCCCACATGCTCTTTTTGACAGGTGGGCGGTAAAACGTTATAGTGTATATAGTTATATAATATACGCTATATATAGGTATAGAGACCGATCGCTACAGCCGCGCCCGCATGTGATATTATAATTATTACAGGCGAGTCGCGATGTCAGCTACATAATAGGTACACTGTAGTAGACGACGATGTATTTTTAATATTGTTACTATAACTTATAGGTAACTTACTTATATACATAGCGGTATCTTTTTTGTTAGTACAATCGTATTTTTTTGTTGGATATCGCAAACTTATGTTATGAACTATTAACTTATATAGTTATTAACTAAATGATGTTAATTTAAATAATTATCATTTGTTCATCGGTCTTAAAAATGATATGTATAAAAATCAAAAAATGTATTGAGTATCGCATTAATATTTCATTGTTTTTATTGAGGCATGAAAGTTTACTATTTGAGCACATCCAAATCATAGCGTATTATAGTGTTCAGGTTTTAGAAATCAATTAAAAATACATTTACCGTACAGGCTTTTCGCGTTTCAACAAATTGTAATCTAGGTATTCATCTTATAATATGAATGAAAAATAAAACGATAAGCAAAACTATATGATAAAAAAAAAGTCAAAATGAACAATAGCGATACGCTAACGACTTCCGGACCATAGCGTGTGGTCGTGATGTGTAGGTAGTAGGTTTTCGGATTATTTTCCAGGCATATTCTGGATATTTCGTGTGTGAAGTGTGAAGGTTGTTTTTGGGTTTGGTTGACAGAGGCTGATGAATGTACTTTCATCGGTTATAATTATTTGAGTAGAGCAAAATTTAATAACATAGATTTCGGTGATTCAAAATGTTGTTATATATTTCACAGCGTAGTTGTTTGCGTAGTTATACCCACTATAGGTAGTTGTTATTCTGGGTAAACATTTTGTGTGATCATCCAATAGATCAGAATTATAATTGCTCGCAATGACATAGTACCTAATTTAACTTATACAACTGACAACAAACTGTAACAAAATGAGCTGGTAAATTTTGTTACACACACTCTCGTTTTAACGATATTACATAAATTATATAAATCTTATCAAAATCATCGCTATCTTTCAGTCCTTACAAAATACCGAAACCATATTATTATGTATAAAATTGTATAATTATATCGTATACTATTATCCAAACGTTATATAATAGCGAGTAATGAATCATGATTACCAGTGTCTAATGATAAAATACATGAACTAGTTTTGCAATTAAATCGATTGGCACAATTTTTTGAACATGTCAAATTATGTATAATCATTATGTATAACTATTTGATATTAAAAAATTTACACATTTCTGGAAATAATATATAAATAAGATATCCTAAATCCTAATAGATTATATTTGCATAGTAACAGGGCTGTTTTCAAATGTTTGTGAGGCCCAGGAGTCGGGACAAAAATAATTGCAAAGCCTAACATACATTTCTGTTTACAAGTCTCTTTAAAATAACTACCAACTATTTTTCTGTTCATATTAATTGAATCAAAGTCCACAAACTTCAAAAAAAGAATTGTCCACCTTTCGGTATAGAAGTGAAAAATAGTTGATTATTTGACTTACGCTGAAAAAGCCATATCAGCTGGTATGGACCATGGACGACACTACATTATTTTCACTAAGAATTCAAATAATTTCGAGTTAGAAATTCTTAAAAATTATTTTATTTATATCTAAGTTTTGAAAATTGAATACAAGATTTTCTATCATTTTTTTACCTTTAACAAAATAAAATAATTTTATCTTAAGGTCAAATTAATTTTTTATGAGCGTTTTAAGTAAAAATTTTTTCAAAATTGGATAATATTATGCACCCAATTTCTCATGGAACGATTTTTTTTATTTTGTTCTTATTTAAAAATGCTTAACCGTACAAATACCTGAAATGTTCACCAAATTTTCAAAATATTTTGACTCTTTTTGAGGAATTTATAGACATTATATCAATTTTCATTTTTTTTTTGATATATGTCGATACAATTTTTGAACTCGATACTTAAAATCTATATGTAAAAAATACGAGGTCCTGTATGTAGAAAGAAAATAACATGCACGCACATCACACATTTAAGTTACAACATTATAATATTATTAATTATCATGATGTACATTCCGTGATATAGCCATGCAATTAATATGTACAATCTGTAATTTGGACATTCTAAACAAGCGTGCCAATTTATTTGTATAGATATCTATCATAGACAACATTTGGAAATGATAATCTTTCAAAAATCTTTCATAAACCTTTAAAAAACATTCTAATGACGATAGTGCTTAGTCGTAAAAGAATATCAAAAACATAATGTTTCTTATATTTTGATTTTTGACTGCCTGTCATCTCTTTTATTTTAACTTACTTAGTTATTTTTGTTAGAAACTTATTATTTCCAGCCATAATAAATAATAATTGAATAATACAGTTATAAATTATTAATATCATACTTACAGATAAATAAAATTGATTTATACTTTTTGGTACGAGTATAGAACACCGACTCGATTGTTTTGCTATCATACGTCATACTCTGTATAATCTTTAGGTATTATTGCTGTAAAAATATTTCCTTTGATTTGATAAGTTATAATAATACTTTACTTACCTACTAATTTATTTTAATACAAAACAAAAGTTGTCCAATATACTTGCAATATAATGCAATAAATCTTAATATTTATTATGTATTGAATACAATTTCTATACACGAAATTACGATGTGCTAGGTATATTTATGGACGTGTACCTACAAACAATTTGTTCACGTTCTTATGAATGAAATAGTGTTATATCTAATTATCTAATTGTCGACTTATATATTTTATTGAACGTGTCTAGTTCTAGCGGTTTTGAGAGTTTTAAAATTTATTTCGCTTTGTGTTAAGATGTCTGTATAATGAATAATTTTCATTTTTGTGTAGTGATCGACTGCAATTTCAGGATAAGAACATTAAGAACATACAAATTCATAATTCAATGTTAATGAATATAACGATACTAAATAAATAATTTATATATGCTAAATACGTAGGTATATATCATTTATGTAAATAATTGTACTAACATTAGCGATTACAGTATTTATAGTGGAAATGATATACATTGGTCAAATGACGATATATCTAATTTAATTTAAAGTATAATAAAATAATACTTACCTACACTCAAACAATTATTTTTTGAGAAAATGAAGATAAAACTGAGAAAAACTGTCGGTATACATTTTTCCATTTGTATTTTAATATAGCTGCACAGTGTACAATAATTACTACAATTAGTTGTTTCTAATTATTCCATTCTAGATTTTTAATAGTTTTTATCAAAGACTATTATTTTTTACGAGTTCTAAAAGATATTCAAGTTCACATTTTTATAATTAATTATTTTTTTATATAATATATATAACAGCAAAATATAATTACATACGTACATTTAAAATATTTATTCTTATTTGGCTGTTGAATGTAATAATATTGTATTATTATGCGTCTACTTATTTTTAAATTATTCAAATTATTTAAATTTTAAATTTGTGGAACATTCATATACCTTAGGTACTGAATTTTTTATTATAGTTAAATAATATATAAGACGAGAGTATTAAACCTCCGGAAATTAAAGACTAAAGATATTCTGTTAATACTTATCCGTAGTAAATGTACACAACTCTACCAATAGGTATACATTAGAAAAATATAATATTTACATTGCTGTACCGTACCTATATATAATATTATGTCTGCATTCTTCAAATTAAAAAAATACCAAAGAGAATAACTTTATAATACTTTGATTTTCGTTGAGTTGTATTATTATGGAATAATTACACTAAAATCCACTAAAATACATTCAACTACAACTTTGTCATAAGAAAAAGTGAGTTAAAGGAAAGTTAAATTTTAACTTTCAAACACAAATACACAATATAAGTATACATACAATGTCAGATACATTATATTAACTATTTATATGCAATGTATAAGTATGTTTTTTATATTGAAATAAATTATTAAAATATATTCAATAACTCTCTATTATTTGATTATAATAATATACATGTAGGTAAACAATTATAATAAATTATCAACAGAGAATTAGTAATTCTATTATTCTAATAGTTTCCATAATTAATTATAATTATATAATCAAATATGTATGCAAACGATACACCTACACTTACTTAAGTAAATAAACATACGAACTTATATACGAACACAATCATACGGATGAATACTTATGTAAGAACGTGCAAAGTTTGTAATTATAATTTACAAGTAAATCTTAAAATAAAAATTAATTTATTACAGGTTTTTAACATTTTAATCTATAATTAAAAGCTGATAATATACTAGCAGTACCTATATTATGCAAAATGCATACAATATATTATACAACTTTAATTTATTAAAATTGTCAGACGTCACTGAATTATTTCAATACATTTTAATTTGTTTATTAATATGGTAGTTACCATCAAGGCATTGTTAATAACTACCATAGGGCATTGTATTTATAGCGACCTTATAGGAATTAATAAGTATTAGATTTAAATGAAAACATGTTATAATATCAATAATATTCAGTAAATATCAAACATTCGATTAAAAAAATGATTGATTTATAATTTATGACAGTGAAATAATAATTTTTTAAATCAATGTCATGAATTTGTTCAATGTCTCTCTCAGAATCTATACAAATTACAAATTTTAAATTAAGTGTTTTTCTTATAGTTCTAGTTATAACTTATATGCGTACCCATGCCTATCCATTTAAAAATTTTAGAAACTAGTAAAATATCTTCAATAACGCCACTTAATGAAGATGTACGTATATAACTAAACATTTTAAATTTAATACCTACAGTTGATTATTATTAGAGGTCATTCTTAAAATGTTAAATAGTTATCCATAATTTTGCAAAACATTGCTTAAAAACCGTGAAAAAACTGTAAAATTTAAATTACACCCTTAGGTAATTCAAAAAATAATAATCTCAGAGGTTTATTGCATTTATAGAATACTATTTTATTAATAAAATAACATAGGAACGACATTATGAAACATTTTGACAATTTTCAATTTAAAAAATGTTTTTTACTTTTATTTCTAATTAATTTTCAATTTTAATATTAATTATGCTAGTACTTGTGAACTTGTAATAGGGCAATACACTAATAGGGTAATAAACATACTTAGGGCTATTAATAATACTTTATTCTAATTACTATTAAATTGTCTCAAACATAGGTAGATAGGTATCTAAATATATGATTTAATAATTTCCAAAAGCGTGAGAACCATATAAGTTTCTCACACTATATCCGCATATGTATATAATAATAGTAATATTCCACTTATTGCAAATATTTATTAAAAAATTTAATTGAATTTAACGATTTGAAATAAAAATGCATATAGTTACAATGGACGTACATTAATATATTAAAATATTGTTTAAAAAATCAGTATTTTTTTTAATCTATTAAAAATATATGTTGTTTATTATTTTCCTTCGTATAGGTAGGTAATATCATTGATTATAATTACTAGTATTTATGGTAAATGGTAATATATATAATATATTATATATAAATATATACATTTGCAGTATGATAAAATACAAACCTCGATCGGCACGTTTATCAATACCTACTATGGATTTTCATTGAGATAAACTTAATATTATTTACAAATGTATTTTAATTATTTATTCAATACTTATTGTAAGAAGTTAGTTGGATCCCATTAGTTTATTACCCTCTCAAAATACGTGTCAAAGTACGGATAACATAATAAAAATACATGTTATAATATATAATTCACTAATTCAGTAGGTAATTGAAATGATATTGTGATATTATGGATTGTCCATTATATGTTTGCACATACTATTTGGTGATTACTGATTAATATTATTAATCAGTAAACATTTTATTTTTATTTTTTAAACAACATCAGTCAATAACAAAATGGCATAACCTTTTATGAAGATATAACTATATCCAAAATATCATGAGGCATGACCTTTTACGATCGATCAAATATACCATTTCCTACCATGTGCATAACGGTTTAAGTCACGTTATAGTCAATGTGTGCATATTACATAGATTGTGTATGTTCTATAATTGGTATAGTAATATAGCTTATTGAATATTGCCGCCTGCCGGATACAATAATAATATTGTCATTAGGAAATCAGGTCTTGGCAGAGGTGCCACCTTGATAAACCGCAGACGACGAATAAATATAGGTACCTATTTTAAAAGAAAGTCTAGTTTGACGAAATGTCTGTACCATAATAATATGTATTTACAATTAATGCCAAATTATAATTAGGTAAATATTAAAATAAATAATAAGTATATTCTTAATGCGAACGTAAGTTGATATTTTATAAATACTTTATTGTAATTTTAACATTAACTTAAAAAAAAATGTATGTAAACAACATTCAATCGCTGTAGCTTTGAACATAATATTTTTATACTAAGTAATATTCATGTATTTGCAAAATTCCAAACACCGTTTTCTCGTAAAATATAATATATATGTTATAGCCTTATAGGTACCTAAACCTAATACAGTAATACCTATACGGCTATACAATATTATACACTCATATTGCACACTCGTGAAATGTACACACGGTTACAGAATGTAACGACGCGGGAAGCGTTACTATTTAATATAAACTTGTATATTATTTGTCCAAACTTCCTGAATTAATGTACTATATTTCTAATATGTTTAAAGACGTGTTTGCCCAATATAGTTTAATAATATAATATGTTCTTATTTTATAACTAAACAACACAACGCTCTGAATTTATTTTGTAGAGAGAGAAAGAGAGAGAGAGAGAGAGAGAGAGAGAGTCATTATTCACTGACAGTTAAATGTTTGATGCTAATATTAAGACTTGTTTAACTCGTTTTTCTCATTCCGAGTATAATATTAGTTGGTGATTTATTATAATTTACCTACCAATAATTTTGGTTTATACATCAATAAATGCGATTACAGCATAATATATAGGATAGCACGAATGGTTTTCAATATTGCGGCGGTTTAAGAAAATATCATATATCATAAAGTGCAGGCACCAAATAAAACTAATTTTCTAATGTGTTTTTCCTTTTTTGTTTACATTTTGACGCACCCCATTCAACACAACGAATTGCAAACCATATTTTTGAACTGAATTCACCACCACACGCAGAGAGTTTGTCAACGCCGCCTTGTTCTGCACGTATTATTTTGGTAACACCGTATACGTAGTGCTCGTCGCCGCTTCCTTCAAGCAGGTAATATTATACGGCGACAACTACACGTCGAATACACACACACGCACACACAATAGGTCTTAGAAAATTGTAGAAAATTTATTTTTTTTAGTGTTTAGTTTTGCCTTATCATTAGGTCTTGGGTCTAAGCTGTCTCACCTATATCCACAACGAATTTTTTCCTAAACGTCACTTATAATAATATATTTTGTTCCTGTAGTATCCGTCTTCTTAATTTACATTTACATCATTGGTCCCGGAAGACATTGCACGAGGATATTTTTACCAAAAAGTAAATGGATATCCATAGTACACAATATATTATCATGGTATTTATATTACAGGAATATCAAATTGTAATGACGTTCACATAATAATATTGAATCTCGACCATAACTAATTAAAATTTTTTCATTAGATACCTATTTTATTCGTTTTAGAATTTATCGAAAATTTCATAGTGAAACCCCAATTTATTAATAATTTGTACTCACATAATATACCTATTATAAAAGTCAATCTGTTTGCATTCTGGACTATTTTTTCAGTCAATACTATAAGCGTACAGTGAATATTTCTTGAAAACAATATTGCAGCTCTTATTATTATAATCGTCTGTATTATTGTTAGGATGCCTTCCTCCCCAGGACCAAGATTGAGGACCATGGTTGGGACATTATACTACCCACTTTCATATAGGCGTATATATTATGTACAAATGCGCACGCACATGTCACAGCCTCACAGCACACGCCGTATATACAATTTAACCTATGACTTTTTCTACTTGTACACTCTGTACACACACGCGGAAAATGTTATGTTAGAAAAAAAATCAAATTTTTTTTTTTTGTCCACATACAGGTGGCTGACACGCACACTCCGCCGGAATGGCACATGCCCGTCCGCGCCTGGATCCTCGGCCTGGCCATTCCGCTGGTGCCACTCGGCATCGTCCGTTCGCTCCGGCTGCTTGTCCCGTTCTCAGCCATAGCCACCGCATTTATACTGGTCGGCTTGGGATGTACCATGTCATGGGTGGTAACCGGCGTCAGCCTGTTCGCCGACGAGAGTGCCCTGACGGCGGCCGTACCACTGCCGGACATAGGATCCCGTCCGTGGATCGCCCCCGTGGGTCACATGCCCCTGTTCTTCGCCACTGTCCTGTTCGCCATGGAAGGCATCGGCACCGTGAGTACCTACATCTACCCCGGTTCGGGTACATATTATATAGTTCAATACCTATATTATATTAAAAAGCCGGATTCACAGCTACGTCGTGTGTCGTATCGTGTCGTGATTGGATATTACTTTTTTGGAATCATGTAATAAGTAATAACCAAGTTGCGACCGAGTGTACCAAGAATTGAATACAATTCAACTTTTAAACCATATTGGTTAGTGGTTACCGGTTGTAAGCATAATAACTAAGACCTCGCACGACACTGAGCACGACGTACCTAGCTGTGATTACTATCAAAGTATCAAACTACACACTTATAACGACCAGTCGAATATAATATAGGTAGATTACCTATAATAAATTAATATGACTACATAATATAGTGTCATATTATGTAAATTTCACTTTCAGCACCCTCTTTGTGTAAAGGGTAAAGAGAAATTCTGTAGCGTTTCGTGCGTACAGCTTATAGAACTCTCGCCTGCTGTACTACTAATCAAAATGTTCAAATTCAATACTTTTTTATTCCAACTTCGTATCGAAATACTTTTATGGTTATATAATATAATATAGGTATAATAATGATGAGAAATCAAATTAACGTTTCGGTATGAAACCGACTGTATTGTTTATAACTTTATCAAAAAAAGCATTAATAGAATCTCATCTTACGGTGAAATGCATTCAATCATCGCGTGATACCACAACCTTATAACTTTTAAAATAGCTGACACATAACACGACTTTTGCAGGTACTCCCGATCGAGAACTCGATGCGCCATCCACAGCGATTCCTCAAGGCTCGCCCTTGCGGAGTTCTGAACGCCGCCATGGTGCTGGTCGTGTGCTTGTACTCGGTCGCTGGATTCCTTGGATATTTGCGTTTCGGTGACGCCACTGACGGTTCGATCACGCTCAATCTACCCAACGACCTGTAAGTATAAATTTCAGCTCCTATGTACCAAAATATGTATAAATGCATGCACTTATGTTGCACAAACAAGAAAAAAAAATAGGGAAATATGTAGATATAGCTAGTAACCAGTAGGTACTAAAACGATCAAAATATGTGAAATTGCTAATCTATATTATACAACATTAATTAAATACAATCGACTTTGTATCTATGGCTTGAAAGATGATAAATAGTTTGGGTAAAATACTAAAATATCAAAGCTGTAAATAAATATGAATATTATAAAAAAGAAAATGGTGTTCCTAAAGAAATATTTATGCTGTGAAATTAACTTTAAAGTATTTGCAAACTTAACATCGAAAGTCAGAGATTTTCACTTTAATATTTTAGAAGTCAATAATATAACCAAAGACAATTAAAATATTGAAAATATATGTATTAGTGTACCTAACTAGTATTTTCAAGAGTTCATTAAATGTTTTTTTTATTCTTTTAAAAAGCCTCTGCAGTCTACAGATTGGTAGTTTTATTTTATTTTTTACATCTGTTTTACTGTCGAATTTGGCTAATACATAAATACATAATCTTCAGTCTGATTCACGTACTCAATATATATTATTAGCTTCATTACTATATACATATATTTATAGATATTATTTATGTTACTATCAAAGCTCAATCACTGGGTAAAGCTAGATTTTAATAGTTAATGCTAGCACTAACTACTCAGTTAAAGTTAAAAAACTAAATTATACTAGGGCTTTTACTAAAAACGTTGTGTACATCCTTGAATGTATAAATTGTGCTAGTAAAATCTGACAGAAACTAAAATAGAAATAATACATCTTGTGCAAATAAATAACAATTCAATTTTCTAAATGTATTTTTTCTTTTGTAAAAATGATTTAATCAACTCAATATAGCATCAGTATATCATGTATAATGTATTTCAACTTCTGAGGAAACTATTTTAAAGTTTTATTTTCAAATCTTATAAATTCAAAAAAATAATGTTAATTATACTAAATAAATATTTGTCTGTTAATTATTTATCGGTTTGAAAATTTGAAACGAGTAAAAATAAGTGATGTAATATTGACTTCTGACGTTCAGCCATATTATGCGTAAAGCAGTCGTTGATGTTACTATTATGGATGTGAATGTGTAAATCGTATAAGCATTTGTTAGACAAGATTACTGACTCCATCATTGTTAACCTCAACATGATTGTACCTCTTTTCACTCTCGTTTTGTTGTTAGTTTCTTTATCGCTCGCTTATAAAAGCTTTTGTGCGACAGAGATTCATCATCTTTTACTCTCAATAATAATAATAATAATAACATATTATGACCAAAAAGCGTGTGTTCAGTGAAAATTAGGAAAAACCAGGGCTCGCATTTGAAAAAAACTTCCGTCCTATGTTATTTACAATTAAAACGTTACATAGTTTTTGCGTTTATCTTTATTTAGAATTAAAACTTTATTCAACTTTTGCGTTTATCATTATTTAAAATGGTGTTAATACTTATTAAATTTAAAAATAATAACTAATGCGTATAGGTCATGGCCCGGATTCGGGATATAATCAGTCCTGTAAAGTATTTGAGTAAAAGTATTTGAGTAAAAGTATTCAAATACTTTTTTAAGTATTGAATAACTTTTTAAATACTTTCAGCATGAAGTATTTTGAATGGTATTTTAAATACTTTTTTTTGTATTAAATACTTTTTGGTATTGAATACTTTGGTTTTTTATTTCGAACATTTTATTTTTATTCGAAATAATTTTAGAAATTTTAGAATGAATTAAGAACACAAAATAGGTAGTATCACCAATGGGTGGTTTCTTCCCTCAAAAAAAATCATACGCAAATACCCTATGCACATTTGCTTATTGTTCTAGTTAAGAACAGATTGTAAATTTCATGTAAAAATAAAAAAAAAAATGTAATAAACATTTATTTAATAAATAATAAATAAAAATGATTATAAATTTACTACCTATGTGTCTATATTACAATAATTAGAAACCCACTTTAAAAACCAAAAGTTTTTGAAAAGTATTCCAAAAGTATTTGAAAAATATTCCAAATACTTTTTTAAAGTATTTGAGTAGTATCTTAAATACTTAAAAAAAAATGTATTTGAGTACTTACTCAAGTACTTTTCAAAAGTATTCTTTACAGGACTGGATATAATATAATCAATTCTTAGATTGTTTGCATGAAATAAATGTTTCTACAAAACCAATAGACCTTTTAAATAAATAGATATTGAAATATTTCGTTTTGTGTTATTTTTTGTTCAATGATATTCCATAAATTACGTTTTGTGTTATTTTTCATTTAATTATATTCTATAAATTACGTTTTGCGTCATGTTTTGTTTAATGATATATAAAATATATTTTGGTCGTCGTTATGTTTTTTTTTTGTGGTATTAGATTCTGAGCGGAGCGATGAATGTATTGGTTTTACAATGATGTGTGTTTTTATATTTTTATATTTTTATATTTTTGTGTCTGTCATCACGTTTTGGGACAGTAAAAGTGCTTCGATTTTCTTCAATAGTACCTTTTCTGATAGGAAAGTGAATCTAGTTGGTACTTTGGGGGGTCAAAAGTAAACATTTTCCAGTAGTTTTCACAAGCGCCGGGAAAAAACAACATAAAAATTAAGGAAAAACGGGAATTTTTACGCAAAATCGATTTTCCAAAAAATCGAATTTGGTTTTTGGTGTAACTTTAAAACAAATGACCGTAGATACATGAAATTTTCACTGGTTGTTTATATTTGCATTTTCTATACACGATAACATTTTCAAAATATTTTGATTTATTTTGAACTGTTTAGGGACATTTTCATTTTTCATTTTTGAAGTTATACTTCTTTACGCACGGTAGTGAGGAAAAAAAAAAAGCGAACGGGCGGCGCGTACGAACGGGCGGCCGTACGAACGCGAAAGCGTACATGTCCGTAAATAAATAAATATTGTCATGGTAATGTTGTTTTATTATATATTATAATATATATATACATATATATATATATATATATGTATATATAAAACAGTAAGCTGATAGACTGCTATCAACGCACAGCTCAAACCATTGGACGGATCTGGCTGAAATTTGGCATACAGTTAGCTATTATGATGTAAACGTGCGCTAAGAAAGGATTTTTCGAAATTCGCATTTTAAATAGGTGCTCAAACAGGGACATTGAGATTCAAGATGGAAATTGGAAATTTTATTTTTATTTATTAATAGTTGCCATTGGTTACAGTCTACATTAGAAATTAGCATTTATTTATTGGTTGCCATTGGTTATTCGGGCAGATCAGGTACAAGCTTGCATCAAATCAAATTATTGAACATTGCCTACCAGGGTGGCTGAGTTGCACTTACCCCAGCAAGTTACACCCAAAAGGAGTTCAACAATCATAATTTTTTTAAGAGTTGTGATTTTTTACGAGCAACCAAATGTGTTATATGAATAATTAATGATCAATTATTATTTATTTTTATTATTATTATTAGTATTCACTCACAAATGTATTGTCTGGATAAAAACAATACTACAAACAATTACCCATCGATCTGTCGAATAAAAATATAAAAATAATAATAAAACTATCAATAATAAATAATTCCGGATACTTCTTCTCATTTTTTAAATTAATTAATATTTTTTTCTTTCTTTTTCACTCACTCACGTGTACCATTCAAAAGAAGTTTAACTTCCCGCGCGCGTACTGGTAACACACATGGTTTTTTTTTTAGTTTTTTTTCTAGAAATATCAATAAAATTTTATTTGTTGGTTGCGAAAGCTTGAAAATTTAATAGAAGGCTTCTAATATGTTGTTTTAAAGGCAGATGAAAAATATTAAAAATCCTTAGTCACAATTTTTTTTTATAAGCATTTAAAGTTCAAAAATTGACAAAATATGGAAAAATCACGAAAATTAGCAAATTATTTTGAGTTAAGAATTCGTAAAAATTGTTCTTTTTAAATCTAAGATTTGAAAATGAAACACAAGATTCCTTATAAGATTATCTACCTTTATCAATAAAAAAATCTCTACCGGACAGTCAAGTTAAATTTTTATGAGCGTTTGAAATTAAAATTTTTACAACATTGGATATTCACTCGATTTCTCATGTAGCGATTTCCTTATTTTGTTGTAATTCAAAAACGAACAACTGTAGATACATGAAAATTTCACTGAATGTTTAAATTAGCATTTTCTATACACCATACAATTTTGAAAATATTTTGACTCTTTTTGAGCTGTTTAGGGACATTTTCAGTTTTCAATTTTTTTAGTTTTTTTTTTTTATAATTGTCAATAAAATTTTATTTTTTGGGCCAAAAAGTCTGAAAATTGAATACAAGCTTTCTTATATATTGTTACAATATCAGTTGAAAAATTTTAAAAATACATAAGCACGATTTTTTTTATAAGCATTTAAAGTTGGAATTTTTACAAAATTTATCAAAATCTCGAAAATAATCAATCGTTGGAATTAAAAAATTATAAAATGTTCAGTTTTTATAACTAAGAGTTGAAAATTTAAAACAAAGATTCTCTTAAATAATTCATACTGTAACCAAAAAATCTAAAAAATATATGAACACACTTATTTTTTACAGACATTTTAAATTCAAATTTGGACGAAATTACATATTAAAAAACCTAGAATAACTATTTTAGTTATTTTGTTGTGATTGAATAATATTATTCGTGGGTACTTGAAACTTCTAAAGTGTACTATTATATATCTATGATAGTATCACGGTTTTTGTTGATGTATAACGCGTTATAAGTATCTAATGGATATTGTGATATGATTAATTTGGAATTTATTATAGGTACCTATTATAGGTCAATTTTTTGTTTAATACCATAAATATGTATATAATATGTCTTATACCTAGAAGGACATACCGTCTCCGTTCAGAATCGTTTTTCTTATACAATGATATTATATCATTGAATTCAAATTTAATACCATCCATTATACAGTGACCCACTTGTAACCTACTGTACAGCAGAGCGACACCCACTTGCCCACCTTTTTAGTATTGTTTTTGATTATTTTTTTCCGTTATATGAACGTTTACAAATTTCAATGGTTTTTTTTGTCAAATATAACTTTATTATAACGTTTGTAAGCCCTGGGAAAGACATATATCTATATAATATTATATATAAATATAGGTGGTAGGTACTGATATAGTACAGTGACGTAGCGCAAACCTAAAACGTGTACAATATTCCACTCAACAACGACCTAATTAATATTATGCTGCAGGTTCGCCGAGTCGGTGAAAATCATGGTGGCGCTGTCCATACTGTTCTCGTACGGTCTGCAGTTCTGTGTGCCCAGCGAGATAGTGTGGACCCGCCTGGAGCCATGGCTGCGCAAGCGTCGGCAAAACGGCAAGTATTCCGCGGACAGCAAGACGACGACGTCCTGCGGCGCGCCCGTGAACACCATCGCCGGCAGCACCATGTCTACGGTCACCGCGGTCACCACGACCAGTGCCACGTCCGTGGACGAGAAAAAGCAGCTCGAACTCGAATCTAACCGGCAGGACAAACCCATGGAAGGAGCGTACTACGTGATGAGGGCCTCCATGATCCTGGGAACCGGTAAGATAATGTCATAACTATTGCGATATCAGTAGGTAGGTGTTATTAAAATATGTATTTTCCAACGTGGTTTTGTGATTCTGGACGATTCGACAGATTTTATATGATTACGATTACCTACATTCGAACGACCGATTGTCAAAAGCTCCAGATAGGTACGCCATCACCTGACAATAATGATAATAATTAATAATATTAACGTATTGTAGTATCGCTATATATATGCCGTTCGATATGCCAATTAGTAGGTATATGTTTTCGCTGCCATCCGCATAAAGTATAATTCGAGTATATTGTATTTATTAATCGATTGATATGACTAAATATAATATACCTATGACCCGTATCGTACGAAGATACGATATGCAAAATATGCAATAGGCATGAACCGGTGTTTTATCAAATACTAAAACTAAAAACTTGATATTTTCACTATTTTTTTTTTTTATGCCACAAGTAACAAGAAAACCTGTATCTGTAAACTAATGTCATAACTTTTCTTTCATCGTTTTATTAAAAAATTTAATAATTTATTCTATGTAATGATATGTCGGTATAACACATCTTGGTACATATACTCGTGTAGACCAAATAGAGAAAATGTTTGTGTAATAATATAGCCAATAAGTGCTATACATTTTTTTGTATGGTTGTATAAAAAATGCAACTTCCTAATCAATCAAAAACTATTCTATCTAATATATTATAAATCATATTAATTTTCCCAAGGTCCACAGAGAAAGTAATATTATAATAATTCGACAAAATTAAAAAAAAATAAAAATACTTAATAACATTTTTGTCTTGTACCTGCCGAAAAATTGTATTTCTGATATAATTAATGATGATACTTACGTATCGATAGAATATTATTACATAATATTATACTCTCGAACTAATGACGTTTGCGTGCAACCGGCAACTGCAGTCTTACATTTTGCATTTTACATTCATTTTAACAATATAATATTATTATGTTCGCAGTGTTCATCGCCGCCCTGGTGCCCGACCTGGCACCATTCATCTCGCTCATCGGCGCGGTGTTCTTCTCAATACTGGGCCTCATGTGTCCGGCCATCATCCACCTAGCCGCGTTCTGGAACCACGGCGACGAGGACGGAGAGGACACGGACGACGCGACCGACTCGGAGGACGACTTGGACTTTGACGGCGACTACTACGCGGTGGACGACGACACCGACCTGGAGGCGGTGCAGCGGCAGCCACAGCGGAGGAGAAGCAGCGGCCGGTCGACTCGTCGCCGCCGTAAGGGCATGAGCCGTTGGACCGTGGCCAAGGACGTGGCCATCGTGTTGATCGCGCTGATCGCTCTGGTGTCCGGCACGTACGCGTCGCTCGTGGACATCGTGGCGTTCTACGGGGCCGGCGGCGAGGGTGGCCACCACGCGGCCACAGGCAACGGCACCGCCGTCACTGTCGGCACCACCACCATCGGCCCGGGCCCGGAATCGGCATTCCTGGTAGCGGCGAACGTGGTACCGCAATTATAGAGCGGTGGACAGAATTCGGAGGACGGGAAAACAAAACGATATACAATAAGATAATAATATTATAATATACACCGCGACCACTGCACCTGAAGTCGTCGTCGCCCGCCCCCGCCCGCCAGCCAGACAGCCCGGCATGGCTACAATGGTTACCTAACCTTTATATTTTTATCACTGTTGTAACTTTCGCGTTTTATTTTTCAATCGCCTGTGCACATTATTGTCCGAATCGACACATTCTCGAAAACATTTCCACCCCTCCCCCTCCTCATGTATA